ACTTTTTTTTTTCAGTTCTTTATATATTCTTGATGTTAGTCCTCTGAGGAATAACTGACAAAAAATTTTTCACATTCTGGTAGGTTGTCTCTGCAGTCTGTTGATTGTTTCCTTTGATGAGCAGAAGCTTGTTAATTTGATTCTATCCCATTTGTTTATTCTTGGTATTATATTTCTTGTGCCACGGAGGAGCTAGTGTTCAGAAAATTCTTATCTACACCTATGTCTTCAAGAATTATACCTATTTTGTCATCCAGCAAATTGTGTTTCTGTTTATACATTTAGATATTTAATCCATTTTTATTTTAGTTGAATGGCTTAGTGAGACAAATTGTAGGTCTAGATTCAGTCTTCTGCATGTGTATATCCAATTTTCCCAGCACCATTTATCCGTTTATTAAAGCGGCTATCATACCTCCAGAGTATATTTTTGGCTCTTCTCAAAGATCAAATAGTTGAGTGTGTCTGAGGTTGTCTGCTTTCTCCATTCTGTTCTACTGATACATATTTCTGTTTTGTGCCAGTACTGTGCTGTTATTATTACTATTTTGTAATCATTGTAGCTTTGTAATATAACTTCAAATCTGGGATTGTGTTACCTCCTGCTTTGCTGTTGTTAACCCAGAATTGCTTTTACTATTCTGGTCTCTTCTGGTTCCACATGAATTTTAGGATTGTCTTCTCTAGATCTGTGAAGAATGCTGTTGATATTTTGATTGGGATTGTGTTAAATTGGTTTTGGAACAGTTTACTTTAAATGGAAACAAGTAAAAACTGGAACTGAAATCCTGTTTTGTTATAATTGTATGTTAAAAGGAAGGTAAAATTGGACAACCCTAATTTAATATCCATTGCTAATGAGCTATCTTATCAGGACATTTGAAGATTTAATATATGTAATGTAAATTTTTCTATCTAGAACTTTCATAATATTGAAGTATGATTTGACATGCAGTAATGTATTTCCCTTAATGAAATTAGAATATTTTGTCTTATTTTTCTATAATCTTTTCATTTAGGGCAGAAATAATAAGATTAAGAAGTAATAAATGCAAAGATTTTTAAAACTGTGTATTCTTTATTTTCAGGGCTATGGGTCACAAAGTTTTTGGCAGTCTTTACCGAGAACAGATTTTAGAGAAACTCAGGAAGTCTGCAGAGCACTGTGATTGCTTGCAGTGTTTCTTTATAATACACTCCATGGGAGGAGGTAAAGTTATTCACTCATTTGCTTATAACAATGTTAAAATGCAAGTAGGAGTTTCTTTTGCAAACCTGAGTCTTGCTTTCAGGCCTGTGCTCAGCAAAGTTGGAATTAGAACATTTGTGTTTGTATGTAGTTTATCTTAAAATTTTGTGAAATTGTGCACTTATCAGTTTTCTTTTAACTTGTTCTTTTCACATATCAGCAAAACTATATGGGAAATTTATTTTTCTTCTGCCTTTTGTAGAATTTTCATGTTTCAGAGTATATGAGCTTTTCAGGAACTCATACTTTCTCTGCATACTTTGTTTGTTTAATTATGTATCATAACTAGAACTGAGCATTTCTGGCACGTTCTTATGTGTACTTCAAACAATATCAGTACCTTTTGTTTAACCACCTTCAAACTTATCTCCAATAAGCGGGAAAAAAAGAGTATATAGAATTATTTCAATTAGTTTTTTTAAATTAATTTTTACATGGTGGTTCATCAGTTTGAACTAGAAATACATGATCAGTCTACATTGCTTTCTTTCTACTGGGAAGCCTGTTATTTAGAATTGAAGTGTTTTTGTTCCTCTATTCCAAGAAATAGAAACAAAATACAATTTGGCAATTTTTAAATAAGATTAACAACTTTTAAAGAAATAGCACAACATTTTTTTATATAAAATCTTCAGCAAGTTATATAAAATTGATACACATAGCTTTTATTTATTGTCATAATTTTTTAAATTAAAGGTATGCTTGTTATGTAAATACCTTTAGAAAGCCATCTTAATCATTAAATTAAGAAACAAACTATAGTAGTATAATTAACCTACTAGTCTGAATAAATTTTCACCAAAAAAATGAGATACAGTTACTTTGCCTTTTTGTAAATGACTGTTATCCAACAACTCAGAAAATATACTTGACTCATAATTCACTGAAATTCACTGAAAATGATAAAAATAATAATACTAAAGACTAAAATAAAATTTCTTCTCTAGTAAATATCCTCATAGGTAATCAAGCGTGCAAGTTTGGGAGTTTTTTGTGTCCTTGTAGATATTTTCTGTACCTATTAAACTGTATATGTGCTTCATATAAACAATCATGCAATTTTTATAATTTTTTTGCTCTGTATCTTAAACACCTTTTCACTGTCATCTTTGTCTTATAGAAGTGAAATACCATAATTGTTTAGTTATAATTTATACTCAGGGAATGTCTGATACATATATGTGTGTATTTGTGCCTATAGCTATAGGCAATATTTATATAATGGAAGATGGAACCAATGAATATGAGCATTTTAAATTTTGATAATGTCACGCAGTTATGTACCAATTTACAGTAAAAACAATGTATGTCTATGTATATCGTTAACCACTTACCAGTCCAATTGTTTAAACACGTGATGACCAAAACTTGGAGAAATGGAAATTTTATCAGATTTTTTCAGTACAAAAATTGACTGGTTGAAATGACATCTACCCAGATGATGCTTGGGAGGTCAGTGCATAAACAAGCAATGCCCAATTGGCACTGGGATAAACCTTTAAGTGATTAAAGGTTACTCACGAAAATCTCCCTTACTTTCATCTAGTATTTTTAACATCTACCTTTTAATATTTAAACTTTTTAAACCAAGTAGCAAGAAATCCTTACTAGGGCGAAGCATTTAGCACAGTAGCTCCATACCTGCCTTGGAAGCACAAGGTCCTGAGTTCAATCCTCTGTACCAAAAAGAAAAAAAGTCCTTTTTATATTCCAACACCATAACATGCAGATAAACTGAAACAAAAAGTTTAGAAAATGTTAACTACGTGTGACAGTGATCCTTTTTAATGTTTCATTTTTAAAAAGAAAATACTGGTATCTATCTACCAAGTAGTTTCCTACTAATAGTTCACAGCCTATGGTGTGAAAAACAAGTTAAAAGACTACAGATTTTTCTCTTCACATTGTCAAAATTTTCTAAATGTACATAGACATAACTTTATGCATCTGAAAGTTATCTTTGATGAGTGTCGTATGGTTTGTGTTTCTACATAAGTAGTGATAAAATTTCATGTTTAAAAACTTCTTAAGTTCAAGGTGGATATGCTTGATTTTAAACAATTTTCAACTCAGTGTTTAAGGTTCCTTAATCAAAATTTTCTGTATTTTACATCAAAATGCCAACATAGGTTACTTTTAAGTTTAATATCAAGTATATGCTGAATATTTAGTTGAATTTTTCATTGTTGAGTCAGTTCTCTTTGTATCTATTGTTTTCAGCATGAAAGTGACTGAAATAGGAAAAGCCATCCCAAACTTATTAGAGCCAGAAATAGAATTCAGAACTTAAAACCTGACTATCCATGTGGCCTTCCTTTTCCTTTTTCTGAAATTGGATTAGTTAATATATGACAGGAATAACTTGAAAATTATTTCCTCCAATAATACATAGATTCCAAGTTCCTCACAGTAACATTCTATATCACATACGCTATTTTCTTTTCAAAATTTAAATCCTCAGGAACAGGGTCTGGATTTGGCACATTTCTTTTAAAGGTGCTCGAAGATGAATTCCCAGAAGTATACAGATTTGTGACTGCAGTCTATCCTTCCAGTGAGGATGATGTCATAACTTCCCCATATAATAGCCTCTTGGCAATGAAGGAACTTAATGAGCATGCAGACTGTGTGTTGCCCGTCGACAATCAAGTAAGAAATGGCACTGCAGCTTGTGGACAAAGGATGATTAGTCCTTTGTTATGCTTAATGTGTTTGTATCAAACATTGTTTTCCCTTTTCTCATCTAGGAGGAAAAATAAGTTTAAAGTGATTTTCTTTCTCTTCTTTCTTTCTTAATAGAATATCATCTGTGTCCACTCTTCTTAATAGCTTTTCTCCCAATATTTTTCTTCCAAAAGTCTTTATTTGACATCATAAGCAAAATTGACCTTGTGGTGAGTTCTGGAAAGTTGGGTCCCCTTGTGAAGCCAGACAGTCTGGTTACTTCAGGTGCTAGAGCTTTTAAGAAACAGCACAAGAAACCCTTCGATGCAATGAACAACATTGTGGCAAATTTGCTGCTCCATCTGACAAGGTAATCTGGTTTAAGAACAGTTGAGAAACTACTGTGCTTTTTCTGATGTTTAAATTTCTGTATTTTGTCTTGTATTTTTACCTCTTGTTAGGGTAGACTAGAGTTTAATTTCCTTGATCCTGAAGCTGCATTTCTTCAAGTTTATTTCAGGAAATAATGGTGTTCATAAGAAATGATTTCGTAGTAAACACTTGAGAACCACTTAATTAGATAAAATTAAACTTTTTTCTTTGCTGTAGAATATTTTACTTTTAAACCAGCTAATCTATGACTTCTTGTTAGCTGAAAAATGAGTTCCATGACTTTAAACCTCCATGGTTTCTTAGAATTATTATATTCTAGATTATTGTGTGTGTTAAGCAGACCCTTACAAAATTTGGGCAAGTTTCTACAATAATTAAATAATTTTCACTTGTATGTGTTTAATTCAAAGTGTATAATTTTAAATTAATTTTTTTTTCATTGTTTTAATACCTATCTTTTAGCTCTGCGCGGTTTGAAGGGTCCCTTAATATGGACCTAAATGAAATCAGTATGAATTTAGTCCCATTTCCTCAACTTCATTATCTTGTGTCAAGCCTAATGCCTCTGTATACACTGGCAGATGTTAATATCCCTCCTCGCAGGTAAGATATAATTTAGTTCTGATTTCTCGATAACTTGAAGTACTTTTAAGAAAAACATTTTTAAGAAAAAAACATGTATAATAATTCTAGTATTGGTGTCATTTTATGTGAGAAGTATATAAAATACAGTTGAAAGCCACTTTTCATTAGAAGAACGCTTTAGAATTTAAAAATGTCAGCATTAAACTTTAAAATTAAATCAAGTGATTAAATTTTTAGGCTTTTGAAAATGCATAAAGATATATATAACACTTGTTTTAAAAATGACATGCTTTGAATACTGACAGATTTAAATCTGAATACTAATTCTAGCACTTCCTGCAGGACCGTGGACAAGTTTAAACTTTTCATCTTAGTTCTCTTAAGAAAAGTGAAAGAGTACTTGCCTCATAGGCTTATTGGATAGATTTAATAAGAGTATAGGGGCCAGGGATTTAGCTCAGTGACTTCACAAGCACAAGGACCCGAGTTTGATCCCTGGTACTAAAAAAAAAAAAAAAAAGATCTTTAAAGCTTTTATCACAGTCCAATGATAAGATTTTATAGTGATTATCATTTCCAGAACACCTTGTTTTCTGTTTATGTGGGTTTTTTTTTGAGACAGAGTCTCACTATGTAGTGGAGACTGACTTGGAACTCAGTGTGTAGCCCAGGCTGGTCTAGAGCTCACAGCGATCCTCCTGCCTCAGCCTCCTGAGTGCTGGGATTATAGGTGTGCGCCACCACGCCCGGCTTCATGTGTATGTGTTTTTAAGCATAGAATTTATATTAATGTACTTAACAAAAAAATGTGACCTTTTTAAAGATACTAATATATAGTGATAATGAACCTGAAAAGTTCACACTGGCATTCATGGTTGAAAGGAAAAAACTCTTAACCCAATGCAGAGAGTATATGAGTAAGAGAGTGGGAACTAAAGATTGTGTTCATTGTCAAAGTTCTGACAAGGTGACATCTCTGTACCTGAGGAATGTGACAAATGATACTGATAAAGTCCATATGGTACTAAGCTGTTTATTTAGTATAATAGTATAATTGATCATCTTTATAAAGTTAATTCTTTAAAAAGACAGATACAAGATTTCTAAGCATGAAGAAAAAATGTTTTTACTTGGTCCTTCAGTCTGAATATTTCAAAGTTAAGTAATTTGTAATCCTACTTGATAAAGTTTAATAATAATACCTGTGTCATTTTTATTGTAATCATAATTTGAGGTGGAGATTTGTTTTTAAGTTGTATTAATGAAAATCTATAGGGAATTTTTTGAAGGTTAGACTCAAGAACTTTGTCATAGTGTCCCTACTACCTTCATAGAGATTTGGGAGGTTTTGTTGTTTTTTCCTTCTGCTCTGTGGTGGATATTTCAAAGTCTGCCATATCAGCATATTGGCTTGGTCATTTTTCCTTCAGTAAATAAACTGTTTTAAGTTTTTACTACTAAAAATTTTGCAATAGTTGTAAAAATCTTTTTCTTATAAGTATTTCTAAATAAAAGACAATGGTTTGGTTTGCAAATTGTATTTAACTGTCAGTTCTGTACCCAGTTCATTTTTGTCAAAATAAGTAATAAGCACATAGGAATAAAAATAACTATCCCAATAATTATAATACTTCCTTAGTAGTGTTTTTAATTTTCTGTGTCAAGAAAATAAATTGAGTATGACTCTTTATTGTGTGGTTACTTTTAATCTTTTCTGTATCTCCATCTCTAAAACAATCTCTATAATTTGATTTATACACCAAAATTTTGAGTATAATAGTAGAGGACTTGTGAATCCCCCAAAGCTCACCTGTCCCTTAGGGAATCCTCTCCTTCTGTCTATACAATAGTCAACATAGAACATGAGCTCCATTAGAGAAGGAAGTGTATGTTTTGCTCACAGTTACATCTCTTGCACTTAGAATGTATTGTTACTATTTAATAAATATCTGATAAAAATAAATAGCATGTATTTCTGCAGCTCTGTCCAGATACCTGCAGGGTCAGCACATAAAGCTCTGCCTACAGTTAAGCTAAGGAACACGATCATGTTTATATGGGGTTAAATAGTGTTTAGAGATCCAAGTGGAGCTATATAAGGAAACTGTATATTGGTTAGACACAAAAGTCACCTTTATTTTCCTCTGTAACTGAAGGAAAAAGAGAATCTTTTATTTATCTTTTAACTTTCAGGTACAATTAAAATCTCCCCTTTCGGGAGCGGTACTATAGACCTTAATCTTTTATAGGAAAGCCTGAAGTTGTCCTTGATAGTTTTCTCTTGTTATTCTTAACATTTACAATGTGATTAACAGAGACAAGTAATGATCGTAGTGTCATATATTTTTAGTTTTGGTATTTCTGACACCATCAAAGTAGATAAGTATACTGAACTAAGCAATAATGATACTGATTTAAGCACTCAGTACTCTTTAATGCTGCAGTCAACATTTTGTAATTACCTAAAATCAGTTACTACAGGTTTCTTTAAAAAAATAGATAATGCATGATTTCCTCTCATATTTATCAAGATTCCTTTGAGAAAACAATAGGTGGCTATTTGTTTAAAATATATTTAAAATAGTATGTATTATGATTTTAATATAATATTAAGGGTACTTTTTTTAACCTACAGATGACTGTCTTTTCATTTTAAAATTGTATGTAGAAAAAAGCAATGCTGTTTTATGTAAAGGGCGACTCTTTAATTGCTCTAGGTTGGATCAGATGTTTTCAGATGCCTTTAGTAAAGACCACCAGCTAATTCAAGCAGACCCAAAACACAGTCTCTATCTTGCCTGTGCTCTTATGGTTCGAGGAAATGTACAGATTTCAGATCTTCGCAGAAATATTGAAAGGTCTGTTTCTGTTTTTCAGGATAATTTTTGTGTACTCCTTGGGATAGGATAGCACAGCTTCTCTTCTAATTACAGACAACAAGCAGTGTCACTTCCTGGGGGGTGACTTCAGGCAAACTGTTTAACCACAGGGCGCTTGTTGTCTTTAAGTGTAAACTAAGAATAATATTATAAAGATGTTATTTAGGAATATTAAATTATATATGAGGCTTTTTTTCTGAAAGTTTTCAGAAAGTATTCTTGATAATTATATTTTTACTACCACCACCTCAGCTACTGCTATAAAGCGTCTAAGTTTGTTTTGGTATTTGGCAGTCTATTTTTAGGAAAACTGTTGAATTGCAAATAATGAAAATTATACCTTCATTTCTTTTTAGCCCCAGATTTCTAATTTTAAAGAATGTGTTTCCAACTTCTTAAATCACCATCACAGCTGATAAAAATGCCCCCAAATTACCTGTCTCTAACTCACTTTTACATTATCTCATGATACTGCTGATCAGAAAAAATAGATAATTTAAATCATAAACTAAGCAAGCAGGGTGATGCCATGAGTAATGTCCTTGTTTCGCTAATGTGGGCTGCCTTACTGCCACAGGCATTTTAGTACCTTATGCCTTTGTTCTTATGTTTACATTTTTGTACCTCAGATTAAAGCCTTCTCTACAGTTTGTGTCCTGGAATCAAGAAGGCTGGAAGACCAGCCTGTGTTCAGTACCTCCAGTGGGACACTCCCATTCGTTATTAGCTTTAGCAAATAACACATGTGTGAAGCCTACCTTCATTGAGCTGAGAGAGAGGTTCATGAGACTCTACAAGAAAAAGGTAAATGCAGGCCTTTTTAGCTGTGCTTGTTTTGGCTCTTGAGTTTTAACAGTAAAAATTAGAACTGGCCTTCCCTTACCTGATGGTTGTACTGACTGTACCGAAGAGAAGAGGCTCATCATACTAGAGAAATTTCATGAGTTTGAAGGATTAGGCAAAATACTCATTTGACACAAGCTCTCATTTCCATTGTAGAGCTGAATAATTTTAGCAAAGACTGTTTCACCTTATAAGATGGTTGGATATGTTAAAGTTCCTGGAATGGTAAGCATCATCTGATTTATCATTTATAGGCTCACCTCCACCACTATCTACAAGTCGAAGGGATGGAGGAAAGCTGTTTCACAGAAGCTGTGTCGTCGTTGTCAGCACTTATCGAGGAGTACGACCAGCTAGATGCCACAAAGAGCGTGCCTGTGGAGAGTGTACCGAGGCTGAGCGTAGCTGTGTGAGAAAGAAACCTGAGCACATAACCAGCACTTTTCCTGACTTCACGTTGCTTTTCGTCACCTGTTTCAGCTTTTTTTGTGATTCGGGAAATATTTTGTCTAAGACTGTTTTCTACTTAATTACAGTTTATTTATGATACCAGAGTGTGAAATTAGTGAAGCCCCCACCTCATGTAATTTCAGCACATGGAGGAAATGGAGTTCTTGAACAGATTGCTTTATTTGCAACCCTATATTTATTTATACCTTTATACACTGATAACTAAAAATCTTGTACAGATATATTTTTACATTGATATTTAATTTATATTTTGATATTCTGCTTAAATTCTCTGATACTGAAAAGCAGGTAATAGAAGAGGAATAACACAATAGTGATATTTCCATGTAATAGCCACTGACTTTTCAGGGATAGGTTTTATTACAACTGAAGGAGATTTTGTTTTTCTTTTGAGTAACAACTTTCATACTTAGAAGAAGAATCACAATTTAGACATGTAACATGCATTTCTATGAAATTATTTTAATAGCCTTTTAATCAAACCAGATTTTATAATGTCCATGTTTTTAAACAGTGCTACTTGTTATTGTTTTGCACGTCACCATTTTTGTAAGTAGGCAAACATTATGAAGCTTGATACTCTCTTCCAACCTTTGTAGTAAATGATTCTAATAGTCTAGTGAAATTATTGCACTTATTATAACCTCCAATTTGAGTTAGCATTAATTTTAATAACAATTTATGTTTCAAATAAATAGGTTCATTTATCATAAGGGAAATAATTTATCATTAAGGAAATAATTTTTAGGAAAAATTTTTTTTAAGCCAATTCGTGTGTTTTTTTGTTTTTTTTTTTTTTTTTTTTTTTTTTTTTTTTTTTTTTTTTCCTGGTACTGGGAATCAAACTCAAGACGTGTTTTCCAAGCAGGTGCGGTACCACTGAGCTGCACCTGTAGCCCTCTTGTATGCTTTCTTTTTTTTTTGGTACCGTGGATCGAACTTGGGTCCTTGCGCTTGCCAGGCAGGTGGCAGAACCACTGAGCTAAATCCCTGGCCCCTATATGCTTTTTTTAGTGTTTGGCTTTTAGGTATTTTTCCTTTGTAAGGTATTAGTACTGTTCTTGGTCCTTATCTTGGAAATTTACTTTTTACAATATTTGATGTAAAAACTTTCTCATTACAGCTGTTAACAGTAACCAGAATAATTCCATTTTCTTCTCTCCCTAAGGAAATAACTAATATTTAGGATTGGCCAATGAAAACTGTAAGTATATTTATAGTATAATTTTATTTCTATTCAAGAATTAATCTGGACTCTTTAGCCCAGTAGGGATTATCATCTGATAGCCTAGGCTACATTGCCAGGCACAGGTTAAAGCTTAAAATTTTAGTGTTTTTAAACATATTAACAGAGTTTTCTCAGTTGTTTAGACAGTTACTTTTTGGTACCAGGGATCGAACTTGGGTCCTTGTGCTTGCAAGTCAGGCAGCAGAACCACTGAGCTAAATCCCCGGTCCAAAGTTTTCTCTATTATTTTGTAAAATAAAATGTTTTCTGTAAATAATAAAACCTTTTCATTACATATTGAATGCTTAGATGGTACCAAATATCTGTATTATATTATTGTAGCATATATTGTAGAAATTATTTCAGTTTTAAGTTGATCAAGTTTTATATATATATATATTAGGAAAAACTTCTTAAGAAGCTTCTAATGCCTTAAGTATAGGTATCAGAGAACATCTAAGTATTTTTAGTATTTTAAATCCATAAAGTAGATTTGCCATCACTCTGCTTTTTAAATTACATGATACAGTTGATGAACTCTAACCCTCGACCCTCTTGTGCTTGGTTTTATAGAATATGGAGCTCAGAAAATATGTCTCCGGGTTCTCTGCAGTCTCTGTGACACACACAAGATGTAATCCAGAGCATCTTCCACTTAAATGACGCTTCATTGGGGCACTCAAATTGAATGGCAATCATTTTAGACTTATTGGGGATGCAGCATCTCTTATCTGTGCATATTCCACAGAAAATGGGTTTGTAACTCTTCGTACTTGAGCATCCGGAAAAGACAAATTTTTCAGCTTTGGGCAGTTGGAAAGTAGGCTGGCACGTTTTTCCTTTGGGAATCTAAAAAGAAACAAAATTAAAAGAAATTCTTAAATTTGTTTACAATTTGTGTAGAAAAATACTGCACAGACATCCAGCTAGAATAGTGCCTGGGTCATGTTGCCGTTCAGTGCCTTGCAGCACCTTCCCACGTAAAATGTCCCTTCACCAGAAGTCTGTCCTCCCTGTTCTTGTGCCATCATATTGTGGGACTCAATGTTTTTCTGTTTTCTTTTATTCAGATCCATGGTCCATGGAAATATTTTGTTTACTGTCAAGTTCAATGTCTTATTAAATATTTATTTACCTAAGACATAGCAAATTCCCTAATACAGCTCAGACACTTTTGGGTAGATATATAGATGAATAAATATCTTCTAAAAATTTGCACTGTCAGGTTGCTAATGTGCTAGAGAATCCTTCTGGGTGATAGGGATTTTGTAGCATTTCTAAAAATTGCTCATTTAAGGCAATTATCTTTCTCCTTCAAGAAGTTATACCAGGCATCCAAGTGGTGAATACTTTATCATGGTCCTTTGCAAATAAACTGAGAAGCACAGAGCATTTTACAAATAGTGTGACCTCCCAAGTTTTTTGTATTTAAGTAAGATCAGAACTTCTAATTTTCTTATTGCAATGAAAATCCATTTTACAATGAAAATTTTTTATTTTTTGCTTCATTCTACTACATACAATTAGTATGGAAAAGAAAAAAGGTAGAATCTAAAAAGGATGCATGAAAGGTTACCACAAGAAATCAGGCTGATCAAGACCCACGTTATTAAGCTGGTGGAATATGTAGAGAGAATCTCTAGGTTAATATTATCTCTGCTAGGTAAAACATTTCCTACCATACAAATTGCAAGAAAGTTAGTATCTGTTTTTCTCTGATATGATTTCACTCATTGCAGTGTGGTTATAGTGAGGTGGTTTGATAAGAGTAAAACACTGTTCCTCCAAAATACACATTTACAGAGATTTCTACTGAATTATAATGAAGTCTAATTGAAATTTACCTTTACTAACTTTGACGTACTGTTGCAAGGCTGAATATAACATAGTCTTTTCTCTTTCCTCATTTCACAATTGCTGTTTTCATTGGTTACCCTGTTAGATATTCCCATCCCACATGTTTTAGAGCATGAAGTCCACTTGGTTGCTTGCACAAGACATTTTGTTTTCCAAATAAGTGGAAGACTTCTGTAAGCTAAAATTAATGGAGGAATAAAAGAAGCTTATTGTTTAATTCATTGTATTTCCATTTTTCCCACTACTCAAATTCCCTCTTGGTCAAATGTCACAGTTGATTTTCTTAGGAGGAATAAAAATTCTTTATCGTTCCCATCCTTTTTAGTCCAAGGGGCTACAGCCACTGGGTCCATGGCCTGTTAGGAACTAGGCTGCAGAACAGGAGATGCGTGGAGGGTGAGCAAGCAAAGCTTTATCTCTATTTACTGCATTAGCTCTGCTTCCTCTTAGATCAGCGACAGCATTAGAGACTTGTGAGTGCAAACCCAAATGAACTGTGCATGCAAGGGATCTAGGTTTCAGGCTCCTTATGTCAATCTAATATGCCTGATGATCTGAGGTGCTGCGATTACTGAGAACTGTCTGCAAATACAGGTTAACATTAGCAGAGAGATTTGATTGGACAGGAACCATAATCGATCAGTTGCTTATAAAACCCTATCAGTGAGTGGCAAGTGACAAGCAGCATCTGGTAGCAAGTTTTATAGTGACAAGTGAGTTGTAATTTAGTTGTACAGCTGCATTTGGTGGCATGCATTTAATTAAAATCCAAGACTTTACACATGGACTGCCCATTATTTTACCACTTCCATTTATACCTCTTTCTTGTGTACTTGTTTCAGTTTTGGTAAGCCCACAAGCTAACCCTGGCCAAAAGGAGTAAAGACCATCATCAGAGAGCTTTGAGAAGGAGGAAGACGCAAAAGCAGAAGATTCTAATACTGCCAACAAAAAGAAAACCACATTTAAAATACCACTTAAACTATGAGTTCATTGCAACAGGTGATTGACATTCTCCAAGCCCCTCCTATATATGTTGATTGGCTATCCAGTGCAGCTATGTAACCTTCAAAATGCTTTACCATATGGAAACCAAGCACCTTACATTAAAAGACATGCCCAGGAAATTTTTCAAATTAAAAAAAAAAAAATTATTGAAGGCCACCACTGAGAACATCATTCTTAGTAGCCAACCACATTGCCAAAACCAAGAAGTCCTTTACTATTGGTGAAGAGTTGATCCTGCCTGCTGCTCAGTACATTTGTTGTGAAGAAATTTTAGGAAAGGCTAAGGTTCAAAAGGTGGGACATGTTCCTCTTTCAGCTAGCGCCATAACTAGACAAACTGATGAAATACTAGAGGATATAGATGCATAATTGTTAGAATTAATGAGTCACTATAGTGAGAACTCTAGGTTAACAAGTCTCATAATTGATAAGGCAGCAATGCTTGTTTTTGTTTGCTATCTTTCCAGGAGAATATACAGGAGGAAATATATGTATTTTGTTATCACCCAAGTAACACAACATACAGAACTATTCAATTCTTTGATTACCTATCAGGAAAACTGAATTGGCCGTTTTGTGTGTGTAGGCAGAGTGACTGCTGTGACTGGATAGCTTTCTGGTTCACCATCAGTTCAAAGGTTGCTTCTGAATATGAGGCTATGCTGACTAGCTGAAAAATAATCACCTAACCTTAACATTTTGCAGGATTTGATTAAAATTATACCACGTCAAAGTACATGCCCTTACATCTGTTGTTTGCACAGCTCTGAAAAGACATACAGCACACACATCTTCTCTTATACACAGAAGTGAGATGGCTTCCTAATGGTAGATCACTGGCCAGTTTCTGAGTTATAAGAGCCATTGCAGAGATTTCCTTCAGAAAAACAGTCACCACTAGCAGCATATTTCATTGACACAGTGGGTTGCAAAACTTGCCTATTTCTATGACATTTACCCTGCTAAAGAATGACGACTGTGTTCAAGTCAGCAGATGAAGTGAATGCATTCAAAGCCGAACTAGAATTTAGGAGGCAGTAAGTGAACGTGGATTTTTTTTTTTTTTTTTTTTTATTTTTTAAATTCAGCTGAGA